TTCTCCTTCGCAGCCTGGCTGAAAAATGAAATAAACCTTCTCTTGAAATGCGACGCAACAAATGATGTCATGACTGATTACTAAATGGTAATTGTTGGTTACCTTCACGACCTTTGCATCGACAAACTTCCCAACCATTGCATGAGCTGCGAAAAACCGTTGGTCCCCAACAATAGCATCGAACAACGCGGAGAATTTCTTTTGCAACTGGATGAAAGCCATTTTTTAGCAAACCAACTGAGTACTTTGAAAAGTTCCAGAAGACTTACTGATGGATTCTTCTCTAGTAGGCTCCACAAAGCAACATCTCCAATGGTGATGCGCCCTCCAAAAAGCGTGCCAGATTCACTTAGCTGCACCGCAGAAACCACCTCTTCATCTACCAGAAAGCCATCTACTACCTTCTCACATAATGTCAGAACCTCATCGATCTGCAATGGAACAGCCTTAGGAGCTGTGCCTTTCTACACTCCGTATCCCGAAGATGGTGTGGGCGCGACTACCTACTTCACCTGGAACCGTGTACGATGCGTTTTTCGCCAAACATTTTCATACGAAACATCTGTCTTTTGTCTTGACAAAGACATGGTTGCATTTGGCCCAAGACGGTAATTTCCTACTCAAAGCGTAGCAACCGCCACGCTCCAAGATGTACGCAGCCATGCCCACTCCAGCTCTGGGATATGTAGTGGAACCTCTGAATTTCACAACACCAAAAGAGGAAGGAGATCTTGGGCAGATGAATTAATTTTAAGTACAGTGAGCCCATCTTTACAATGGTAATCCCATTCCTCTTTGGAACTGCGCAGCGTCAAGGTTGCTTTCAAGATGTTTGTGTCCTTTCACTTTAATAATATACATTTTCTTCAAGAATTGGGAACGTGTGTGTTCAGGCGTCCTTTTTAGCAAAACTGAAAGCTGAACCGGTTTCGTGTGCCCCTACAATAGCCCCTCAGGTTTCTGTTCCAAAAAGGATATTACACCTTCAAATTTTCGAAAACAGTTGAGCCGGTACATCTGGTATGCCCCAAGACTTTGAGCAACAACTCTAGCGATCGTTATGTCGTTTTTAATCACGAAACCATCACTGAAACCAAACCAGTTTTGAATCAATGAATCGCCCAAGTCCCTCTTGGTGAATGCCCTTTGACTACAGGGTGGCTCTGGGACTAAATGGAGGTTACCGGAACAAGTAAGTTTAATGAGTCTTTGTAAGGCTCCCAGTAAGCCCACTGAACGATTAATGGAAGGTTTCCGAACGCTTTGCTTTTTGGGAGTAGATTTCAACGAAAAATGCCCAACGATTTCAACGAACTGAAATTTTACGCCGGATCCTGCAGCTTGCATTACCAGTAGCCACACAGGAAATAATGTTGACTGGAACCTACATGTTCATGCCAATCGGATCCTTCTCGTTAAAAGTGATGGAGAGCGACGGATTATAACCACCGAAAGCAATAGCGAGAGCTGTTGCATACGGGACTTCCCCTTGTTTGGCATTGATCACAAGCTGCTGCTTAACCGCAACCATTGTGAGCCTGAACAGTGCAAGTGCATTATAACCAAAAAATGATGTATAACCAAGGAAAAACCGAGCAATTTTATGGAAAATTTCTTCCTGAGGCAAAATTACAATGAGTTCACTGTATTGCCTGCAATCGCGGCAAAACACCATGCTTCACGCCCAAGTGCTTTTCTTGCTCTTATTTTTGAAAATTCGAAAGTTTCTTTTGTGTGTGCTCATCATCAAGTAACCATTCTGACAGACCTATTTTTGCACGAACTTCTGCAAAATGTTGTTGAGAAGAAGTTCAGTTTGGTTATTACTTTGATCACCTCGGTTGTTGTAAAGATTTGTAGTACTACGTATGCCTGATTTCATTTGCGGTTTGAAGGAGCTGTTATTACAGCGAAAGTTAACCAGTGAAAATTGTATAATGAGTTCTCATTGAATTTTTGAAGAAGGCGAGTTTTTGATTCTAATGAAGGAAAAATAACAAGCTTGTCGAAGTTTACATCTTTTCGCAACTTTCGTGTGATCCAAGTGGCTTCAAAATAACCAATAATTTCTTTTCATTTTTGGTTTATGCGCTGATGCTCGATCCTCTCTCACGAATATCTGGTGTGGACAATGGTGTGGGCGTCGTGACAGCATCGGGTTCCTCATCTGATCTCTTCCTTCAGCTCCACTATTGTTCTATTTTTCTCAAAGCGAAGAAACGGGTTGTGATAATTAGTATATAGGTATGTTTCATTTCATTGGTAAGCCTCCACTGTCAAGATGTAATGATTCATGCTGAAATTTTAGAGTTATATTCAGTAAATTAGCACTTCGATGGGATCCTTCGCTGATTTCAGTTATTGATCTTGATAGTTTATTAGATGGTCAACTCCATATTAATGAAGAGAATACTGTCAAAAGGCTAAACGAGGAAGGTTTTTTATCGATTTACTTTTGCTGATCTCGGTGGCGAAGATGGACGGATTGGCGCTGTGAGGCTTGGGAGGGGCAAATATCCAACAATTCCTCCTGTTAACCAACAGGTCTCATTTAGTTGAGACCCGTAAACTCGTGTAAAACTGCAAAATCGTATCTTTGAGCCACTTCGGATATAAGAATATACAGATCTTCACAAGATAGCCTGTACGGCTCCGCTTAGTCCCATTTGTGCTCCGACCAAGCCGAATTGCGTCGACGGATTGGACCCTGTCTGACAGCTCACTTTGTGCAGGATATAGTAATAGTCCGATTGCGCAGGATATAGGTAATAGTCCCTTCCTTTTTTCATGGGAGGGGGGTGGTGTGCGATTTGATTTATTAGTACAATGCAAAGTGGCTGCGTGACTGCCTGAACTTCTTGCCTTTGTCCCGCTGCGAAAAGAGAGTGCGAACCGCGGAGGAGGCTGGTATACTGGAGGTCGAAAGGAGGTAAAGAGCATATGTACGACCCAGAAAAGAATTTGCTTCAGGAGTATCTTCGCGGCGGCCACGACTCTCTATGGGTGAAAAGTTAGAGTGTGTCGAAGTTGTCAGGAAACGCTGCATAGAGAAGAGAATGCAGACGATAAGAGAAAACTGGAACAACTACACTTCTCGTAGGGGTCCTGTAGTGAAAAGCCAGAGCGCATAGAAACAGAGGACCGTAGCTGACAAGGCAAGTGAACGTAAGAAAAGCATGTGCAGGGAAAAGCTTTTGGATGGGGGAGGGGGGGGGCTTCGGGATAGGCGTACCACTTATCATTAGTGAAAAGTCAAAATGTGTAAGGTCAGCGTGTCATAGCAGTCATGCAGACGTGAGAGCGCAGAGTGAGGAACTTCATGTGGTTAAAAGGATTGAGTTCATGTTGTCCACTAATCGGCCGTAAGCTCGTCTCAGGATACCTGTCAACCGCGAAGTCACCGAAGTCACCCTCCTCCATCCCATTTTTCTTCTTCCTTCTTTCTTCTCCTTTCTCCTTCCTATTATCCTTGTTTTCCTCCCTTCCATATGCTCAGCCAAAAGATGCTGCGAGAACATACCTTTGGACCCTCGCAGCAAGGGAGCATCCGGTTGACAGCTTTTGTGCCGTACAAAGGCTAGGGGCTAGGTTTTTTTGGTAAAAAAACATACCGTAGTCGAGACTACTTCTGGGATTATTTCCGGAATGAACGAAGTTGGGTTTTTTTGTGTAGATATATAATATTCCCATAGACTCAGTATCCCCGAAGTGGAGGAAGGCGTGGCTACGTATCTCATCTGAATGTGGTACTGGTGGAATATTTTCGTTTTGAGACAACAGC